AAATTACTTAATGGATGTTTAACTTTTAAATTTTATTTTATTGTGGTAAGAACACTTATGAAATCTATCCTCTTAACAAAATTTTAAGTGTATATTGTTAACTATGCACACTGTTGTATAGCAATCTTTAAAGACAGATTTATCTTGTACAATTATGCCCACCAACTAGCAATTTTCCATTTCCTGCTCACTTCCAGCCCCTGGTAATCACCATATACGCTCTAATTCAGTAAGTGTGACCACTTTACATACTCATACAAAGGGGATCACGTATGACTTGTCCTGCTATGACTGGCTTATTTTGCTTAGCATAATGTCTTCCAGGCTCATCAATGTGGTCATATATTGCAGAATGTCCCTTTTAAAGGCTGACTAATATTCCACTGCTTGTCACATTTTCTTTATCCATTCATCCATCAGTGGATATTTAGGTTGTTGTGAATCTTGGATATTTTGAGTAGTGCTGTAATGAGTACTGGACTACTGCTATCTCCTTGAGATTCTGATATCTCATTGTAGTTTTGATTTACATTTTCCTAAAGACTAGTGACTTTGAGCCACACGGGTTATTTATATGTCTTCTTTGGAAAAATTTACTTTTCCATCCCTAATTCATTTTCCATCACGTTAGCACTTTTTGCTATGGAGGTGTTCCTTCTCTGTTTGGATATTATAAACTGCTTACCTGATGTGGGGTTTGCACATATTTTCTCCCATTCCACTTTGTTTTCATTCTGTTGATTCTTTCCTGGAACTTTTTCATTTAATGTAGCCCCACTTATTTTTACTTTTGTTTTTTAAACTTTTGGTGTCGGATCCTGTATATCATTGCCCAGATCAGTGTTATTAACTTTGCCCTCTCCTAAGAGTTTCCTTCTAGGAGTTTTATAGCTTCAGATCTTACATTTATGCCTTCATCCATTTTGAGTCAGTTCTTGTGTACAAAGATCAGAGAGAAAATTCAGTCATTTGCAGGTGGATATCCATTTTTCCAATACTGTTTGTGGAAGAAACTATCTTCGCCCCGTTTTGCATTCTACGCAGGACCAAGATCAAGTGGCCTTATATGTATAGAGTTGTGGGATTTTTACTGCCAAGAGCAGTTGCTGCTTTCAACAAACAGTTTTGTGACAATGCTGTTTTTCTTTATCTTGGTTGAATACCTAGAGAAACTATTACAGGGACGTGTGGCTGTATATACTTAAATGCATACAAATGCCAGAATGCTTTCCAAAATGCTGCATGGTTTTACACTCCCACAAGAAGTAGAGAAGTGTTTGAGGTATTCTGCCCTCCTTTTAACACTTGGTATTGTCAGACTTTTAAATTTGATTCATTCCAGTGCATGGATAGTAGTGTGACTTTTAATTTGCAATTCCCTAGTAACTAATAATACCATTAGTGTGGTTTCCAATGTGAAGCATGTGTTCATATCTTTTATATGTATTTTAATAAAGTTGTCTTCTTATAGAACTGTAAGTTTTACCTTTTTTCTTTTATAAAAGATTTTATTTACTTATGCATACAGAAATGGGGTACAGGCCAGAGGCATAGGGGCAGTGAGAGGATGTACTGGAAACACAGTGGGGAGCAGAACAGGCAGATCTACAAGGTACACTGCTGAGGGAGCAGCAGGTGAGACAGGAGAGGTCGGCTGTGCCATGTGGGTCAGCTCTGGAGCTGGGGATCGAACTCGCACTGAAGCCGCCACGGCTTGGCTCAGTTTTGCAGTGCAGCGCTCCAATCTGCTGTGCCACCAAGGAGGGCCCAGTTTTACCTTTTTTCTAAAGAGTGTCTTTCAAAGAGAATTGTATTTCTTTTTTTTAAAGGCTTATTTATTTGTTTATGCGTAGAACGACTGGGGTACAAGCCAGAGGCACAGGGGGTGGGAGGAATCACCAAAAACGGATTGGGGAATAGAACAGGTGGATTGATTGAAACACGCTGCTGAGGGGAGCAGCGAGCAAGACAGGTTAGGTTTGCTGCGCCCTGTGGGTCAGCTCCCTGGCCTGGGAATCAAATTCAGGCCAAAATGGCATGACAAAATGGCATGACAGTGCTGAGACTTAGCCCCTATGCCACCAGGGAGGCCCAAGAATTTCATTTCATTGGAGTCTAATTTATCAGTTTTTTTTAGGGTTTGCTTTCTATGTGTCCTAGCTAAGAAATCTCTGCCAACCCATAGATATTTTCTCTATATTTTCTTTAGGAAACCTTGTGTTATATCTTATTTTAGGTCTTAATTTTGTATTAATTTTTATACATTTTGAATTAATTTTTTATAAATAATGCAAAGTGTGAATTGAAGTCTACTTCTTTTGCATATGAATATCAAAATGTTTTAGCATCATCTATTAACAAGATTACCATCCCCCACTAAGTTATTTTGGTACTTTTTACCAAACACCAATTCACCAGGCATCAACACCTATTTGATTATATTTCTAGTCTCCTTGGCTCAATCCATCTGTATGTGTATTCTTATACCAACACCAAACAGTCTTGAATTGGGTAGTTTTATTTTAAGTCTTCAAAGTAAGCAGTATCAGTTCCTTGGCTCATGCTTGCTTTTCAAAGTTGTGTTGGCTATCAGCCTCTCCTTCTCCAGAACAGGATTGACTTCTGCTGAGAAAATAAGGGCATGTCTCTCCTATCATCAGCGTTTCAGTAGAGAAGACTTTCTGGAGGAGGTGAGAAAATTAAGACAAAGTGGGGGGCAAAGAGACTCAGACTCTACCAGTTCTAGTCACAGTGTCCCCAGGATGGTGGGCTGGGAAGGTGGCTAGCAATGACTTTAGGGAGCTCAAAACAGCCCCTTTGGGGAGCTTCCCTGTTTCCTTCCGAAAGCTGGGGGTTGAATCTGCCGTAATGGCAGTGGGAGTTGGGTGGGGAGCAGTCCTGCTTCCAAACTGCCCTGGCTTTCTTCTTTGATTCTCCTGCTGGAAGTCCCCCCTTTCCATCTCTTTGCCAGCTTCACCCACAGCAGTACTGCACCCACCATCAGTTCCTCAAACTACTCAACTATTTTTATGGTCCTGCAGTGGAATCCTGAGACTCAAACTAAATATAGATGTGAGAAGTTATAGGTGCACAGGCTTGCATCATTCCCAGAGCCTGGCCGAGGCGAAAGCTCTACTTAGCTCCTCGTAGCACGTGACGTTCCCTTCGCTTTCCAGCCAGCTGGCCCTTGGGTCTCTGTTCTTTCCTGGCAGTCCCACCACATTCTTCTCAACTTCCCAGTTCTTTAAAGACAAGGTCTCTTTATGACTGAGCTCTCGGGTATCCTCCGCCTTCTTTAAAGAGCCTCGTGCCTATCCGCTTGGGTGGTGAAGGAGGGCTGTTCTTCCCTGCTCCTCTCACGCACGGAGGACCCCAGGCTCCTTCCCAGCCCAGCAGCACACCAGGAGGGGGCATAGGCAACCTCACATTCCCCCTGTGGGCTCCCAGTAGGTTGACCACATCCACTCGGTCCCACTACCCCTCCAACATGCATCAACCTGGGGACAGTTAGAATTGTTAAAGCCAAGAAGGACTGAATTCTGACTAAAGTTATGGGTCCTGGGGTCGAAATCCAAGAAATAAATGTTTGACTGGCTATCACAGTTGCTGTCATTTGGGGTTCCAAAAATCAAGTACCAGAAGTTTCTTTTTCAGTCATGTTGCTTTTTTCAGTAGGGCCTTCCATTGTCAAGGTCCTGCCCAATATGGCCCCCACAGAGCCATTCTGTTTTTGTGGCTTTACAAACGGCTTCTGATAAAGACTGGCTGGGACAAATGTTCTGAAGCTAAAGGAGTTTAAAAATCCCAGCCAGAAAAGAAAAAAAAGAACAACTATATACTAGAGACATTTTATGGGGGTGGAGTGGGGAATGGGATCAAAAACAGTGGGGGGGGGGAGGGAAATGCACTGGATTATGGTGATGGCACATGGGTGATTTGGTGATGGGAAGCCCATGGGGATTACAACTGAGATGGAAAAAGGCACAAAATGATGTAAAAATAAACTATGATATTATTTAAAAAAAAAATCCCAGCCAGATGGGTTTTGAGCGTCCTCCCAGGTCTGGAATCTTCTGCCTGCAGGATGCCCAGGATGCAATGGGCTTGCTAAGGGCGAGAAGGCAACAGGTTGGCATAATTTTACCCTTAAGTAATTTCAACATTAAATCTCAAGTAGGTTCAAAGTGGATATTAGAATCACAGCATTTTAGAGGTGGCAGGGACCTTGGAAATCACCTAATCTAGTGGCTCTCTGCTTTGGCTGTCTTTAGACTAGGGAGCAGTCCTGGGGGGAGAGGGGAGGAGTGAGAACCAGACATCAGTAGTTTAAAACATCTCCTGGTGAGTCTAACAAGCCTCTAGGACTAAGAGCCACCTCTCTTGTTCAACTCCTCTACTTCGTGAGTAAATAAACTGAGACTCAGAAAGGATGAGCTAGGAAGCACACCACAGGCTAGCTGTACCCTTGGCTCGGACCCAAGCTGCCCCCTCCTGGGTTGGCTTTTTCATCTGCATCACACCACTCCTGCATCAAACCGCTTGGCTTCTCAGCCAGCAACGCGAAGGTCTCTGTAAGAATGTCCTGTAGCGTTGCATGCGGTAGGCTTAAGAAAGTTTGCTGCGTGCAATTCTGTGTATGATGATGAACAGGCCTAGATGATGGGAACTGACTGTGATAGTGATAAAAGAGCAGAGTAAATGGCCCATCCCTTAGGGGAGCCTGCTCTGAGAATGGGGTTGAAGAAGGAAGAGTTATGGGAGGCCAGGGAGGCTGAGGCAGAGGTGGTACTTGCATTGGGCTTACTACTGTGATGGAAAAAGGTCTGGATGATCAAAGCAACGCCTTTATCAGAGCAGCACCTCTGTGGTCCTCTGGGGTAAGGTGTGTGTGAAGGGAGGGGGGCGGGGAACTGGAGGGGCGAGGGGCGTCCCTGTGCCTGAGAGCCCCGGGCCCTGCTGTTGGCCTCGGTTCTGACCTCCTCCCTCTGCTTTGCCCTCAGGAATGAGACCGTGTTGCACCAGTTCTGTTGCCCAGCTGCCGACGCGGAGCAGAAGCCAGCCTGCTCTGACCTGGCCTCCCAAAGGTGGGATCTGTAAGGGGGTGGGGGGCCGGGCCGCATCTCCCTTCCCCGCCCCCACTGACCTTCCCCTCAGAGCAGCGCACTCGCACTGCGGGCGCCATGTTGTCTCTTCCTGGAGTCTCGTGTTTGTGTGTGTGTGTGTTAGTCTGTACTCCTTCCTCACACTTGCATCTCTCTTTCCTTTCTCTGGCCCCCAGAAGAGCCATCCCCAACTTCCGAGGCCATTATGGCCTTATTGTTCAAATCCCAAACCTCTACTCCTTCCCTCTAAATGGCCTAAACAAAATGGAATCTTTTCCAAGGAAGAGTCTTCTGTGTCTCCCAGGGTGCGCAGCCTCTACTCGGGGCGAGGGCAGGGCCGCAGAATTAGCCTCGCCCTCCTCTTACGTTGAGATTTGCATTTTCCCTTCTCATCTTTGTCTCCATGAAGAGGCCAAGATGGCCGACTTGAATTTGAAGGACTTTTCCACCTTCTCGGCGTGAGGTGACACCGTGGAAAGAAGGGGGCAGGAGTCAGGGGCCGTGCTTCCCCTCGGCCTGTTTGGGGTATTCACCACCCTCCTGCTTCCCGCCTCCTTTTCTTGCCTCTCTCCATCATGCCCTCCTCTTTCTCCTTCCATCTTCACCCATCTTTTGGCTCCTGTGCCCCTCTATCTTCCCTCTCTCTGGGCTGCCAGCCGTTGTCCCATAATGTGGTCTGTTCTCTCTCCTGCCAATTTCTGTCTCGGTTCTGCACATTTCTCTCTCTCTCTCTTTTTTTTTAACTGGCTCTTTACGTCACTGGGACTCAAGATACTCGGATTTTGGCCCGAAATCTGCCCCTTCTTCGTGCTTCTGTCGTAGCAATGAATTTGGGCAAGTTCTTTATCTCCCTGGGCCTTAGTTTCTTCATCTGTGTGATGAGAGGGACAAGTCCATCCAATGACATGCAACCTCACGGAGCCTCGCAACTGTCCTGTGAGATGGTTCCATACGGGTTTTATGAGCCTAGGGGTAGAGGGTGGGGGCAGCGCGCAGGACTTGCCCACCCTCACATGCCGGGGTCCCAGTGCCAGGCTTGCATCTGACCCCTGGTGCTTATCTTTCTGGGTCTAAGATTCAGTGATCCTGTGACCTTTCCCCTTGAGTTCTTTGGAAAAGAACTATATAGTAATCAGAGATGATGGCTGTAGGGTTTGGGGTAGAATACCACCCCCTGAAAAGTGCTGCTACTGGTTTTCCTGGAAAGGGAAGTCCGACGGGCTTGAGACTGGCGCAGAACTCTGAGGTGGGAACCACAGGACCATAACTCAGAATCCCCCGAACTGAGGGCAGGCACAGCTGTCCCCTTAGGCCAGCTGAGCTAGAGGCTGCAAGGCCAGAAGAAAGGACCAAGACTTGCTGAGACCCGGACACCCCTCTGTGCCACGAACTGTGCCAGGGACATAGTGGTGAAGTCACCAGAATGTGGGAGTGAAAAAGGCTCTCGAAGAAACTGAAAGGAACAGAGAAATGGGAGGGTGAGACAGAGGGAGAGAAAGGGAGTGAGACACGTAGCAGAATGGCACTGTTGTGACCTGGAGGGAAGAGACCATAGGCCCCGGATGCTCCCGTGAGTTGTGACCAGACACAAGACCACGTCTTCCCTAAAAATGTCCTCCTTGGCAGGGAAGGAGGTGAGAGGAAAGCAGTCTGCTGGGAGCAGGCAGAATGAGGGGCGTTCCAGGTGCCCCAAACCTGCTTACTCGAAAGGGGTTCTGCCACCCTCCACGTGAAGACAAAACCTACTCTTAGTCATGTGAACCTTTGATAGAAAAGAGCTTTAACACAATTCGTGTGCAATAGAGAGAAGAGGAAGAATACAGTTAAGATAGTTTCTGCATGAGACACTCAAAGCCGGCCGCTCCCTCATGGGTACATGCCCAGTGTTGGCCCAAAGCAGGGCCGCTGAGGCCTGGAAGCTGCCACGCGTCCAGGGCACCTCCTGGCGGGGCCTGCGGGAGAGGGGCAGAGGAGCCAGTCTGGAAGGAAAAAGCAAAAGCAAAATCCAAGCCAAGACAGAGGCTGCCGCTGTAGCCTCCTCAGGCCTCTTACCCCGTCTCTGTCTCAAGTGTCTCCCAGATCCTTGTGGAGGAAGGAAGGTGGAGAAGCAAGCACAGCTCATCACAGGCCTCCTCCATGGGCCTCCTCAGGGTCTTCTAGTCTTCCTTTTTTTCCTGTATAAGTCCTTCCTTTCCTTTATAAGTCTTTTTCCTGCTTCTCAGCATTAGCCTTCCATGGGTGGGGCTGGGAACCGGGACCCCCTCTTTCTGTGGCTATCACACTGTTACGTGTTCTGCACCCTACCCCCAACCCTATACCTCTATATTCAGTGACTATTTCATTGCCACACCCAGGTACATGGCATGTGCCCTTAAGAAGCTCAGTCTTGGTGAGGGGAGGTTGTAGCGGCAAGAGAACACCTCCAGTGGGTTTTCATGGTGGATCCTTCCCTGCTCTCACACCCATTCTTCCCGTGCCAATACTGGCTCCTTGACTGCCTGGCCCGCCCCCAGCAGTCCTGCCTCCTGGGAAGGAATGGAGGGGTATGTGGGGATGGAGGGGCAGGGGGAAACGGGGTACTGCCCCTTCATGGGTTCTGGGGCTCCAAAGGAATAAGAATCTTTTCCAGGATTCAGGCAGGATGGTGGGAAATCTATCACTTAGTTTCCCCCTGGAGAAGGTTGGGGGAGGTGCTCTGGGGAGGAGGGTCGTGGGAGATTTTCTTGAGGCTGGTTCATGGAGAACCTGTAAAGGGCCTCCTCAGTCCTCCCTCTCTGTGGGGGCGAGAGACTCACTCCTGAGTCAGTCCAGACCTTCAGCTGCTGTCTGCCTCTGTTCCCAGTTATCCCAGTTGCCATGTCTGCTCGTCTGATTTGTAGTTTCCTAGAGCGTGTTTCTGTCCTGTCTGTCTGTCTCTCTGATGTCAGTTTCTCAGCTTCTCTGAGAAGTCCTCTGGGTGTTTTCTGACTGTCCGACAGTGTCTTTGTCAGTCAGTCTGTCTGTTCTTGGCTTCTTGGGGGCATTCCAGCTGAAGATAAATTTCCTCCATCAGATCCCCAACATCCCTGCTCCCAGCCCTTTCAGTCATCCCATCACAGCCCCACTCCACTTCCCTTTAGCCAGGTGGGCCACCTTCCGAGAGCATTACCCCACCTTCCCTGGCTGACAGTGAGCTAAGGTGGAAAGGCCCCAAAGCTCTCTGAGCCACCTTAAGGAGACCCTGACCAGAGGCCAGCCCAGCTCCTCTCTGGTAAGTCTGGATTCCCACCAGCTCAGCCAGACTCCAGCCTGTCACAGACTCCTTTCAGCATTTTGAAGAGAAGCAAACTGGTCTCTACAGGAGACTCTAATGAGAACCCCAAAACCAATCACCCAGATGTCAGAGCTGGCATGGAAGGCTCACTTCCTTCCTCCTCTGCACCTTAGCTGAAGCCAGTGGTGACCATGGTCAGCCAGGTTTGGGTGTCTGCACCCAGGCTGTGAGCCTCGGGGTATGTCCCCTAAAATTGTGATGGCCACTGACCCAAAACTGATGCCCCAAGCCCCATGGGATCAGAGGTGAAGGTTCTGCAGTCTGAGCAAACCCTCAGCCAGGAGCTCACCCCTCCCACAGAGGGCGGCAGAGTCCCCGGTCCTAGCAGGCTGGGACAGCCTTCCCCGCCCGCCCCCTAAAGGAGATGCTGGGGGCTGCGGTCAGGCATAATGCTTAAAAGTGGGAAGACCGAAGTCCAGCAAGTCTGAGGTTAGGGGTCTAGGGGTTTGGCATCAGGGCGCAGTTATGGGGCTTGCCAAGCCCCGAGTCCAGAAGACAGGGTGGTGTTCTCAAAGGTGCCACCGTGCCCAGGCTCACCACACAGTTCTAGGCAGACAACCCGTGTTTACAGGTTATTTGGATCTTAAGGTGAGACTGGGGAGCAGCCGGCCAGAGCAGCATGTCAGGATCTCCCCCCACCCCCACCCCAGCAGCTAACGCAGGGGCAGGGCTTTATTCGGGGAACTGAATAGGCTGGTAATTGCAGCCTACTTTCTATCCCAGGCTCCCTCCCTCTCAGGCTCTCCATGACATTCGGAACAATGACCCTGCGCTGGCCAGCCGCCTCCTAGCATTGAGCAGAATGGCAGCCCATTTGTCTCCGTGGGTGGCTATAAGGCCGAGATGAGGAAGATTGGCTTCTATTAGAGTAATGAGAGGGGGGTGGAGAGGGGATCGCGAGGGGGAGGCCCCAGGGAAGAAGCACAGAACAATCCCCAGCCTTGGGGAGGCAGAGGGGGTGGGGATCTGGGGGACACTCAGGGTCCCAGCAGACTGAACTGGCTCTCCGGGGGCCCTCCCCCCCCCCCCCCCCCATGCTGGTCCCTCCTCACTGCCTCATCCTTACTTTGGGATGGGAAAGACACTAACCTTTGTTGAACATGCTAGGGATGTATTTCATCTCCCTTAGTTCTGTGAGCTAGCTGCTATCCCCCTTACAGGTAAGGAAGCTGGGGTGCAGGGGAGTCAGGTGTCTTGACGGTGGGGATCTCCGCTACTCAGTTCTTGAACTGGACAGTGAGCTCAGGTCCGGCTCCAAGACCTCTTTCCAAGGAGCTGCTGCTAGGATTTTTATTTTTTAAGAGCACAAGTGAAATCCTTCCAGCCATTTCATTTGATCTTCAATAACATCAATTTTCTGTGGTTATAAGTTATACTTCCTAGGTTCAAAAGGGGGAAAATACAGAAACATAAAAAAGCGAGAAGCATTTGAATCCAGGCTTGTAGACTAGCTTAGTGTGCAGCCGTCCAGGATTTTATTTTTCTAGGCGCTGGGTTTTAGGTACCCTGTCCCTCTATCCCCATTAAAAAAAAAAAAAGTGTATCCTGCGTTTCCCCACTGGAGACGGTGTCCATGAGAGCCTCAGGCCTAGCCCGCCACCCTGGGCCGGGCCCCGTCGGCCGCTGGCTCAGCTCTAGGCTGCTGCAGCTACTCAGCTAACAGAGTGTG